CCTGAAGCTTTTCTGTAACTATTGACATTTATCAAAGTTCATAGAGTTTCTGCAGGCATGTTGTTTAGAAAGTGGATGCCACAGATTTAAATTAAATAGGAAACAAAATACAATTGAAACTATCAACAAGACCAGGAGTTGGTTCTTCAAAAAGATAGGTAAAATCGACTAACCAATAGTGAAACTAACAAAGGAAAAGAAAGATAAATAATCTGAATAACAGATGAAAAGGGTAATATCACAACAGAACCAACTGAAATAAAAAGGTTAACAATGCAATATTATGAAAAAAATGTACTAAAACAAATATGAAAACCTAGAGGAAATGGACAATTACTTAGAAACTCAAAACCTACCCAAACTGACATAGACAGAAGCACAACACCTGAACAGACCCATCACAAAAGAAGAAGTTGAACAGGTCATAAAACAATTTCCAACCAAAAAAATGGTAAATTTTATCAAACGTTCAGAAAGAAAAGTCACTAATTTTACATAACATATTTCAGAAAATAGAAGAAGATAGAATTCTCCAGACTCAGTCTATGAAGCAAACATAACCTTGATACCAATGTCAGGTGGAGACCAATATCTCTCATGAACATAGATGCAAACATCCTTAATAAAATCCTGTCTAATAGAATCCAACAGTACATTGAAAAAATAATTCATCATGACCAAGTGGGATTCATAACAGGTATATGAGGATAGTTTAACATAAGAAATATGATCAGTGTAAACCATTACATTAACAAAGCAAAGAACAAGAAACACATGACCCTATCAGTTGATGCAGAAAAGGTCTTTGACAAAATCCAATACCTTTTCTTGATTAAAACACTCAACAAAATAGTAATATAGGGGAATCTCCTCAATATAGTAAAACGTATTTATGCAAAACAAAGAGCCAACATTATTCTCAATGGACAGAGTTTAAAGGCATTCATTTTGAGAACAGGAACTAGGCAAGAATGTCCATTATCAAAGACAATAGAAGGAAATAAGAGGTATCCAAATTGGCAAGGAAGAAAAAAATTATCTTTATATGCGGATTATATAATAGTATACTTAGAAAACCCTAAAGACTCAGCAAGAAAACTATTGGACATAATCAACCAATTCAGCAACATGGCAGGATACAAGATAAATATACAAAAATCAGTTGGTTTTCTCTATAGAGGCAAAGAGAATACAGAACTGGAGCTAAGAAAAACAATACCCATCACAATAGCTAATCACAAGGTTAAATACTTGGGAGTAAATTTAACTAGAAACATAAAAGACCTATTCAAAGAAAATTATAAAACATTACTACAAGAAACAAAAAGACACCTGGAGAAATGGAAGAATATATCATGTTCTTGGATAGGAAGACTCATATTATTAAAATGATAATTCTACCAATCTACAAACCCAGTGCAATCCCAATACAAATACCAATTCCATTCTTCAATGAGACGGAAAAGAAAATTTCCAATTTCATCTAGAATGGAAAGAGACCCCTAATAAGGAAAGCACTCCTGAAAAAGAGAAACAAGGTAAGAGGCATCTCGCTCCCTGATTTCAAATCCTACTATACAGCTATGGTGGTCAAGACAGCATAGTACTGGTACAGTGACAGACACATAGATCAATGGAATAGAATTGAGAACCTAGAAATCAGCTCATCTACCTATGGTCAACTGATGTTTTACAAGGAAATAAAATCATGTAAGTGGGTAAATGAAAACCTCTTTAATAAATAGTGTTGGTAAAATTGGAAAACAATTTGTAGGATACACAAGCAAGACTCACACCTCACACCATACACAAAAACCAACTCAATGTGGATCAAGGACTAGGAGTAAAACCAAGGACTATAAACTTCCTCAGAGAAAAACTTGGAAGAACTCTAGAAGCCCTAATCCACAACATTAACAGTCTCCCAAGCATCCTGAAAAGCCTACAACCAGGAGAGAATAAAAAAGATGCACATCCAAAAACTTTTCCAACAGGATAAAAAGGAAAACTACAGACTCGGAAAAAAACTTTGTTAATGATATGTCTGGTAAGGGATGAATATATAGAATTTATAGAATACTCCAGCACCTCGACAAGACAAACAAGCCAATTGCAAAATGGGCACAGGATATGAACAGACATTTCACCAAAGAAGACGAGATGGCAAACAAACACATGAAGAAATGTTCAAAATCCCTAGTTCTAAGAGAGATGCAAATCAAAACAACAATGGGATATCATCTCACTCCAGTAACAATAGTAAAGTTCAACAGAGCATCAAACAACAAATACTGAGATTGTGCAGAAATTGGACCCTTTATTCACTGTTGGTGGGAGTGTAAATTGGTGCAACCACTCAGGAAGGCAGTATGGCAATTTCTCAAAAAGTTGCAAGTAGAAATACCATTTGACCCAGCAATTCCATTACTGGGAATATACCCTAAAGAAACCAGAAGTGCCACCCAAACAGCTATATGCACATCCATGTTTATTACTGCATTGTTCACAGTAGCAAATAGATGGAAGCAATCCAGGTGCCCATCAACAAATGAATGAATAGAGAAGCTGAGGTATAATCACACAATAGAATACTACACAGCACTGAAAAACAAGGAACTCATACAATATTATACAAAATGGATGACGCTAGAGAACGTTATGCTGAGTGAAATATCTCAGTACAAACAGACAAATATTGCATAATGCCACTATTATAAAACAGGACTGATGAGAGTAGTTAGGAGAAACTAAGAAAAGAGAAAATTAAAAAAAAAGAAAATAATGAATACTCCATTGACAGAACAGTGTTGACCATACCACGACTGCAAGAACAAACAGGATGTCCTAAAAAAGTTGAAACCAAGCTGCTCATGGAGGCAAGGATTTTGAAGCTCCATCTGATATATTTTGGGCATGTGGCCAGGAAGGACCAGTCCTGGAAAAGGGCATCATACCTAAAGGGGAGAGGGACAGTGGTGGACAGGAAGACCCAGGATGAGATGGATTGACTCACTGACTGGGATAATGGGATTAGGTATGTCAGAGATGATGAGATTGTGTCAGGATAGGGTAGGATTCAAAGCTATTTTACACAGGGTCGCTGTGAGTCACAGGTGACCTGACATAACAAAAATAACATATGATATATATGGTATGTGTTGCTAGGATTACTTGAAAAGTCTGTGCTTTTAGGGGATTTCAGTGTCATCATCAAGTCACAAAGTGCCTTTCCCAAGGCACAAGATGTTAAGATGATCCGAATACGCATGTTTCTATTATCTGCTCATGCAGGAATTTCAAGGGTATAGTATTTGCATATCTTTGCCTGATAGCCTGACCCTAAAAAAAAAACACCACCAAAAAGCCAAAAACAAAAACAAACCCAAAAACCCTTCTTTAAGGAAAACTCTATTTTAACCTATATGATTAAGCTTAATAAGCAGTAGGGAAGTATTTTAAAAGATTTAAAATAGAATCTGAACTCTTTACTGTTGAGGTAGGCTCCAGGTGTAGACTATAGCCTTTCACAAACTAAGGGCCTCAGAATTTAGGCGTTTATACAGTATACCCTACTTTTATAATCAGAAACATAATCTAAAGATAGTATTTGTTTAAGTAAAAACAATGATTTCAGCACTATTGAGTTGTGTGCTCATTGTGGTTGGAGCCCTGAGATAGGATTCACTTGCCTAAGGACAGACCTGCAGAAACTGTTCAGTCTCTCCAGAACTGAAAGTCACACCAGCTCCTCAGACTCATGTGCATTAAATTAGGATGTTCAGTAACGGATTGCGGGGGGGGGGGGGGGGGGGGGGGGGGGGGGGGGGGCGGAGAGAATTGAACACCTCGCTTTTCTTCCAAAATACCTGAACTCAACTCCCCAAGTCCAGGAAGTTGAGGGTCTGTTTTATCAATGTAGGAGCAAAGAATGAGGTGCTCCCCCTTATACTGATAAATTGGGGTATGCCTGAATTCTCCCCGTTCCCTTTCTCAGAAGTGACTACACATTGGATGCAAAAAGCCCCCAAAATGTACACTGAACCCCAGCCTCACTTTCCCCTTTTTCTCTGAACCAGAGATCCAGGAATCCAACTCTACAGAAACCCACTCTTTCTGCCTAAAGGAGTCAAGTTCTGAGTGGTTTGCTGGTACTGAGCGGAAAAGCCCTTTCTACACCGAAAAGGGGTAGAAAAGAGCAGACACCAAGCCTTGGGATGAGTGGGAGGCTGTCATATTTGCAAAGATCTAGGTAAGAGGTGCCGTGTGGAGCAGGCCTGGGACTCCTGGCGTGGTCAGCGGCATGTGAATAGTCAAGCTTTACAACAGAACAGTAGTAACGCCTCACACCACAGCCGCCTGGCTGCAACATAGCTGCTTTGAGCGCCCAAACTCAGTTTGCCCGCCAACTGAATACTCAAAACCTTCCCGCCCAAACCCCATCCAATCAGAATGCCTCATCTTTCTGAGCTAGAGAGGCGCCCAATCAAAAGAGACAAACTAGAGTTGGGCCAATGGGAGGCGGGCAGGAGCTGTCCAATCGGGTAAGCTTAGAGCTGCAGATCAGTTGAGGTCGTTACTGAGGCGGTTGAAGTCGAGCAGCGGTTTTGCAGCAGACGCAGCATCAGAGTTCGCCATGGTAAGGCCAGGGGCCGGGCAGAGTCCTGCTTCCGGACGTAGGGAACTCACCCACACACCGTGGGGACTACAGGGCGGGCAAGATGGCCTGGAGAGTGGTCTTCAAGTGAGGGGCCCAGTGGATGGAGTGTTAGGGCCTAGGGGCGCCTCGAGGCCTGGGCACCACAGAGCGGCCACAGGAAGTGTCTACTACAAGCGCGCCTTAGCGATAGCGTTTAGGAGACTTTTCAGATTATAGCAGTGGCCTCGTGAGGGGCTGTGATAGCTTCGTGGTAAAGAAACGGTTGTGCTCAGTTACAAGGTTTGAATCCAGCAGCTGCTGCATGGGAGGATAGACAGTCAGCTCACAGTGCTATTTACCATAGCTGGAGAGTCTTTTATGGGTTGATTCTCACTAGACGGTACACAACGACAACGACAACAGCAGGGGACTAGTGGTTAGTAGCGGCATTGCAATCACAGAGGACGGAGTCCTCCGGGTAATCCTGGGAGAAGGATGGGCAGTCTCCAGTGCACTTTCCTGGTTGCCCTAACTCAGTAGAAAAGGACCAGATTCTAGTACCTGAGAGGAGAAGCAACAGTGTTGGCTTTAAAATACACACTTCTGGTCACAAGGTCCCTCTACAAATGTTAAAGATTACTGTTTCTACTCATCAATAAAGGAATGGATAGAGAAGCTGTAGTATATTCATGCAGGAGAATACTGCACTGAAAAACTAAGGAACTCATATAGTATTACACAAAATGGGTGACCCTGGATAACATTGTGCTGAGTGAAATATTTCAGTCACAAAAGGACAAATACTGCATAATGCCACTGTTAAAAAACAGGACTGACAATGGGGGCTTGGGGGGGAAAAGTAAGAAAAGAAGTAAATAATGAATACTGCATTTACTGCATTGGAACAGATCAGTGAAAAATTGTTTAAAAGGATTATATGATTACACATTATTTGCATGAAAACAGTCCAGAATATGAGATGCATAGCAAAGTGGGCTGGGTGGGGGAGGGAGGACATTGTGCAACAGTGGATAAATTTTTTAAAAAGTGAACTGGGGGAGGATGGGGAAGAAAATGTGCAACAATAAATAAATGGAAATCCAGATTTTATGTAAACTTCAGTTAAAATCACAAAAATTATTTTAAAAATTATTAGCAACCAGGCTTATAGTTAATAATCAAGGAAATGAATGTGTTAGAGAAAAACTCTACAGGATTCTAGGCTGTAATCTTTATCAGAACAGATTGACAACTAGGTCTTTAACCAGCAGAGCTACTGGTTATGTTCAAACTGCAAGACTTTTCAGGTTCAGCTCAGCACTTAACCACTGTGCCAGCAGGGCGACTTTAAGGACCTCAAAAGTCTGTCTTAATATGGGCTAATAACTATCAATAGGTACAGGATACCATCAAGGTTCAGATTGCTGATTCATATAATCCACTGCATGGCACGTAAACACTTAAGATTTAGAAGTCACTTCACAAAGGTAAAGGGGTTCCTGCGGTCTCAGGAGATAAAGTTCAAGTATGCTGGCAATATTCTGAAACACTATTTAAAAAGTTAATTTATAACGCTTAGCATACTATGTACTTCCAAATAGCTTGGAAGATTAATGAGTTTCCCTTCTGTGTTCTGGTTGACAGCGTGAATGTATCTCCATCCATGTGGGGCAGGCAGGTGTCCAGATTGGCAATGCCTGCTGGGAGCTGTATTGCCTGGAACATGGAATTCAGCCTGATGGCCAGATGCCAAGTGACAAAACCATTGGTGGTGGGGATGACTCGTTCAACACGTTCTTCAGTGAGACCGGGGCCGGCAAGCACGTGCCCAGGGCGGTGTTTGTGGACCTGGAGCCGACTGTGGTTGGTAGGTGGTGGTTTGCTTGGGCAGTGGGAGAGCTGGTTAAAACCCCCCCTGTGTCCAGGGCCCTGTGAGATGGCAACGATTGAGGAGTGCAGGTTAGCTAGAAAATGGAGCTTCTAACTTAGGAAAGCTGACCCTGAGAGGAAAGGCTGCTGTATTGGCAGTAGGATGGGCTGATGGTGGCCCCTCCTGACTGCCTCCTCCAGGGTCAGCTGCATCCATGGCCTTGCCTGCATGAAGGGCAATGGGTGCTGGTTTGCCCAAACACTGGGTCTCTGTCTTGAGAATAAAAATATAAACTAGGAGGTTCCTTTGGTTCTTTCCAATTAGAAGCCCAAGGTGATCTCCAGCAAGTGCTGTAATGACAGCAACTTTGAGAGGCCACCCACAGGTGACAGAATGTCCCTTCGAAGCGGCAGGACCATGGCCACATAGGAAGCCCTGATGGAACTACCTACCTGCCAGAAATCAATGGTGGCCCAGCTCTGTCTGGTATTTAAAGGATTTTAAAAACATTCTTTGATGGAGCCACAACTGTGAGAAATATAGGACCTAGGGAAAGAGTATGTAAGAGAGAGTTAGCTAGCTGTATTACCCTCCAGCTAAACTGGTCCTGCTGGCTTTTTTTGCTGTGAGTTTCCTGGGTACAGGATGCTTAAGTCAGCTTGTTGCAATACATGTAACTAGAAATGGCATTTGATTTGGTGATTGCACAAGTTCCTTTTTTATAGGACACTAACATTGTTGACCAAAGAGGAGTAGCCTGAGGTGGTGGAAGTGACTAGATCCCCAGTCTGCCCACCATGATGAGCACAGGAAGCTTTTGGGGCTCATAGAGCACTGGGTCTCTTTGTAGATGAGGTGCGCACGGGGACCTACCGGCAGCTCTTCCACCCGGAGCAACTCATTACAGGCAAGGAAGATGCAGCCAATAACTATGCCAGAGGCCATTACACCATTGGTAAAGAGATCGTAGACCTGGTGCTGGACAGGATCCGCAAACTGGTGAGAAGAGGGTGCTCAACAGGCCTTGTACCAGTGTGGTCTGGGGCAAGAGGTTAGGCCTGTGAGTGGGAGGTCGTTTTGGCAAAGCCTGGGCTAGAATTAAGTCCAAGTGTACTTGTAGTGGCCTTTGTTTAAAGTGTGCCTTGGATGGCATCATGACTGTCAGTGTTTCTTCTTTTGCCCTGCGTGTTTCAATGTTCATTAGGACAGGTTTGCCTATGCCTGTACTGCAGAGGGACCCAAGTAGTGGTGCTCAGTGGTGGCTTTGCAGGTACAGCTCACTTTTTCTGTTCTTCCCCAGGCTGATCTGTGCACAGGCCTGCAGGGCTTCCTCATCTTCCACAGCTTTGGGGGCGGCACCGGCTCAGGCTTTGCATCTCTGCTCATGGAGCGGCTCTCGGTGGACTATGGCAAGAAGTCCAAGCTGGAATTTGCCATTTACCCAGCACCCCAGGTCTCCACGGCCGTGGTTGAGCCCTACAATTCCATCCTCACCACTCACACGACCCTGGAGCATTCCGACTGTGCTTTCATGGTGGACAATGAAGCCATCTACGACATCTGCCGTCGCAACCTCGACATAGAGCGGCCCACGTACACCAACCTCAACCGTCTCATTGGGCAGATTGTGTCCTCCATCACTGCCTCCCTGCGGTTTGATGGAGCCCTGAATGTGGACCTAACGGAGTTCCAGACCAATCTGGTCCCATACCCTCGCATCCACTTCCCCCTAGCCACCTATGCCCCTGTCATCTCTGCTGAGAAGGCGTACCACGAGCAGCTGTCAGTGGCCGAGATCACCAATGCCTGCTTCGAGCCGGCCAACCAAATGGTCAAGTGTGACCCTCGCCACGGCAAGTACATGGCCTGCTGCATGCTGTACCGAGGAGATGTGGTCCCCAAAGATGTCAACGCTGCCATTGCTACCATCAAGACCAAGCGCACCATCCAGTTTGTGGACTGGTGTCCGACTGGATTTAAGGTAAGAGTGGTAGTTGTACCTCACAGAAAGAGGCAGATCTGTGAGATAGTGCTGTTCTTTGGGGAGATAGTCCTGTTCCATGGCCATTAGGTTTTTTCTTAAACATGAGTAAACTAGAGTGAGAATTTTATTCAGTTTTGTCTTTTGCGTTTTCTTGCACTGTCACTATATACATGTAGCCACTGTGATAAGCATTTTCTCTGTACCTTTTCTTATTTGAGTGAAGAATTAGTGTCAGGAGAAAGATGGACACTATTATGAAATTTACTTCCTCTGAAAACCCTCTGGAGGGTCAGCTGTGAAAGCATTAGTTCATCACAGACATAAAGACGTTTTAAAGGCAATTTTTTTATCACATGGATAATGTATACATAAACTGATAATTTTCACTTAATCTTGGTTCATTTCAGTTGGAAGAAATCTAATCCAATTGAAAGTCATAAGGGATTGTTGACTTAGTGAGGACAATGATGTCATCTTGTTTTTCTCTTGGTAGACCTAGAAATTCAGACTTTATTTTGCCTAAAACACATTTGCCATGACCTTACATAGGCTCTGTGCTAGAAATCTGACTGGCACTCCTTGTTTTTCTCCAGGACTTGATACCTACCAGTTACCATTTTTTTTTCTCCCTTGGAACTGTGCTTCCTTGGGCTTTTTATGCCTCCTGGTTTGGACCTCTCCAAATTCTTGAGGAGTAGTGATGTCAGTTTGAGGACTAAGGTGTGCTTTATTCAGGCCATGGTCTTTTTAATTAATTGCTATGCATCAGTGAGCTGAACAGTAAGGATGACAGGACAAGAACTGATGGCTTTGAGCGGTGGTGTTAGAGAGTAATGTTGAATATCCCATAGATGGCAAAAAAAAAAACCCAACCCCAAGTTATGTCTTGGAAACAGAATGTTCCTTGGAGGCAAGCATGATAAAGCTTCATCTTAAATACTTAAGACATGTTTCTAGAAGAGGCTGTTTCTTGGAGAGAGACTTCATTCTTGGGAAGGTGATCTCAACCAGATGGATTGATAACAGTGACTGATGCAGTGAGCTCTAGAGTGAGGCTAATTGTGAGGATGGCACAGGATAGGACAGAGTTCAGATCTGTTGTTCATAGGGTTGCTATGAGTTGTAATCCCCTCAATAGCACCTAACAACAACTGGTTTAGAATTTCTTTGCTTTAGGTCAGTGACTGCAGTAGATTTCAGGTAGTATTGCCTACTCTTCCCATTTACCTCCTAGTTAGGGGTCAGCCTGAGTGTTTATAACAGCTGGCTGCTTCTATACAGATTTCATCTACCCATAGTCATACATCCTCATTTATAGATTTCTTATGCCTGATTGTGTGCTGCTCAGTTCCTGCCACAGAATATGGCCCACAGAGACCATGGTGTGCAGCCTTCCCTTGGCAGAACAAAGGCAGACCTCTGCTGTAGTGCTCCTGTGTGCTTCTAGTCAGATCTGGAAAGCTCTTAAGCTTCCCATTCTAACCTAGGCATGCCACTCCTTTGGCTCAGTGGTGTACAGAACACCTTGTGCTGTAAGAAGCATCTCTGGACACCTTGACCGTCACCTGGCCCTGTTTGATGGGGAAGGCAGAGGTGGGTGTGCAATCCTCTGTGGGGACATCTGAGTGGAAAATGTTCAGCCACAGAAATGGATTACCACTTTGTTGAGGCAGACAGAAAAGAATTTAGTGCTCCCTTTCAGAGGAGTCTTGTTACCTGGTCCTTTGTCTACTTTTTTTCTGAAACACTAGGCCCTGAGGCAGGTGCTGCTCCAGGCTTTCCTGTCCTCTGTCTCCTTACCTGTGGAAGCCATCAGCCTCACCATCCGGCATCCTGCCTGCCAGGTGCCAGAGGGTTACAGCAGAGTGTTCGTGCTGGGTGAACTGTGCTTGCTTTGCAGTGTCCACGTGTATTTTCTTCTAGTAAAACTTTTATTTCTGCATTTGTTATGAGACGTAAGCCTCCCTGACACACTGCTTTCTTCTCTTTTGTCTGACAGGTGGGCATTAACTACCAGCCGCCCACAGTGGTCCCTGGGGGTGACCTGGCCAAGGTGCAGCGAGCTGTGTGCATGCTGAGCAACACTACAGCTATCGCTGAGGCCTGGGCACGCCTGGACCACAAGTTCGACCTCATGTATGCCAAGCGTGCCTTTGTGCACTGGTATGTGGGCGAAGGCATGGAGGAAGGGGAGTTCTCCGAGGCCCGGGAGGACCTGGCAGCTCTGGAGAAAGATTATGAAGAGGTGGGCGTCGACTCTGTGGAAGCGGAGGCTGAGGAAGGGGAGGAGTACTAGATGGAGTGTACCAGGCAGGTCTGTCCTCACCTCTGTCTGGCCACCTTGCCTCCCAGTGCGGCTGTGGCCAAGTTGTAAGTTCTCATGATTAAAAGGTCTATGTTACACTGCTTGTCTTCTGTCATGATGCTGGGGTAACGCTGGGTCTGTTGCCTGGGGAGGGCTGTGGGCCCACACTCAGCTGGGCTATTTTTAATGCTGGGCACAGCAGAACAAAAAGTTGTTCTGTGTTTTCTGAGTGAGGACTGAGTGTTCACAGTACAATTACATGTTTCTCAGAAACCATGGGTAATGGCCAGTATTTGAGGTGTCAATATCCCACTGCCATCAAGTACACTCAGAATCAAAGTGACCCTCCACTGGGTTTCTTTATGGGAGAAAACTGACCATTTTTCTCCTGAGACACAACTGTTTTTGTTGTGTGTCAGAGCTGACTCTGAAAACCCCTCCAGCGGATTTTCAAAGACTGCTCATCCTTCTGCACAGCAGCTGGTGGATTGAACTGCATGCCTTTGAGATTGCATCACAGGTGCTTACCACCAGGCCTCCCTAGAAAAGTAAAAGGTAGATCCAAACTACCAGCTTCTCTGTCAGCAGCCTGACATATTATGCACTAAAGGGCAGATACACTACAATCAAGGAAAACCAAGTTAGGATATTAATGGTCTTTTCTGGGTTTTGAAATTCTACATCCATAGGATTTGCTGACTAAAAAACTTCAAATGGAGTGTTGATGTCTGAAGTTCCAAAACAAACTTAGCTGATAGATGGCTGGTGGGCAGGCATGAAACCCCCACAACCCTGGGTCCAATGTGTAATGTCAGGACTTTTAGTTCTGAGAATTGTGGCTCTTACTTAATTACCTCTCCTTGAATTTTCTGTGGCATTTATGGTTCTGCAGGTCTAAGCCACAGTTTATAGTAAAAATGACCTAATTGTTCATGATAATTTGAAAGACAACTTTCTCCTCTCTGTGCTCAAACTACTGCTGTCATCGTACCCCAGCACTCTAAACGTGCAGAGAGCATCACACCTTTGAATCTGAGCAACATGGAACAGTGTAAGTGGTGGTGTTAGGTGGCTCCTAACGCCAGTGGTCAAGTTAGTGTGACCTCATGTACAGAATAACACCTGCCTGATCAGCTCCACCCTCATAATCTCTGCTGTGCAGTCACTGTTTCAGTCCATCTCAATGAGTGTCCTCCTTTGCTGAACCGCTACCTTTCCAAGCATATCTTTCTGCAGGAAAGGCTCCTCCTGTTAACATGCCCAGTTATGTAAGACTTACCACCCTTGCTTTAAGGAGCACTCTGAGAACTTCCAAGACAGATTTGTTTGTGTTTTTGGTTTTTTTCCCCCTTAAATAGTTGTTTCTTGGCAGTGGGTTGGAAAAGGTGATGGAGTTAGCAAACAGAGATGCCACCACACACCAATATCACAAGGGCAGCAAGAGTGATGGGAAGGAGTAGCCTGAAGCCCCAGATGAGGCCCTTCTTAAGTGTTAAGTTTAAGAGGGTGCTGGGGTCTGGAGTGTCGAGGGGGGTGACCTTAGAAAACCTCCACTTAGTAGGCATGGTTAGAGACGAAGAGGGACTCTGGCTGCGGCCTTGGCCTGATCGCTTGGGGTGTACTTTCCTTGGCAGGTGAGTCTGTTGGACAAGGCTTGCTTGATATACTCCTGAGCTGCCTTCAGATTCTCCTTCTTCCCACCCCAGGCCTTCAATGCAAAGGCCTGCAGGGCTTGGCCATAGGAGGTCAGGGCTCATGGCTTCAGCAGGGGTCACTTGTTGATGGCATTGAGGTTGATGGATACCTCCTCCTCACTCTGGCCTCCAGACAGGAAGGTGATCCCAGTAACAGCGGGGGGCACTGTGCGGTGCAGTGCTGTAACAGTTGCCATGGCAATCTCATGAGAAAACTGTGCAGGCCTGGCTGGGGGTTACCATGTTAGGCTTCAGCAAAGTGCCTTCCAAATAGATGTGGTGAGCCTTGTAGACAGCAGCCAGCACCTTCTCAGTTACATACTGACAACACTTCTGGTCATGGTCACCATCAGGGAGGATCTCAGGCTCCACAATGGGCACAATCCCATTCTGCTGGCAGATGCTGGCATAACGGGCCAGCACGTTGGCATTTTCCATGATGGCAAGAGCTGAGGGGGTGTGCTCTCCAATCTTCAGCACACAGCACCACTTGGCAAAGTCAGCTCCGTCCTTCTTGTACTGGGCACAGCACTCGGACAGCCCGTCCAGCCCCTTGGGTGGTGGTCTTGCCATTTGTCCCTGCCAGGGGTACCATGCCCTTGTCTACCCTGATGCCCACAACACCACCCTTAGATTTGATGACTTGGGGGAAGGGATGCCCATCATCCGCCTTCTGGTAGAGGGTCTCATGGAAGAGGATGACACCCCCGATGCAGGGGTTCACGCGGTCATCGGTGGTCAGCAGGAGCTGGTGGTAGAAGCAGTGGTTCTCCTCGGTGTTCTCGGTTCCAATGCACTGCAGGCACTTGGCAATGCTTCCGGTGGACTCATCTGCGGCCAGGATGCCCTTGCCCGGAGCAACGATGCTCGCATATCAGAGCTCCTTCTTCTGCTCCGGGGTCAGCGCTGGGTATGGGTAGGGCATGGTGTTCTCGGTGGTGATTTCCTGGGCGCTCACAGAGGAGGGGGGCGCTCGGAGGGGCGGGCGGTGGTGGGCTGCGGGGAGGAACGCGCCAGTCGTCCCAGCTCCGGGTTCTGCCTTGTTTGTTCTTTTGACAGTCCATGGTAGAATTTACTTCACCAGCACCACAGATCAACGCCATCAATTCTTACATCTTCCTTATCCATTCAGTTTACACATGCAAAAGAAGCAAATGAAAATACTATGGCTGGGGTCAAGTGACTGTTTAAACTTTGAAGGGACATGCTTGCTCTTTAGCACTTTGTAAGAAGTCCTTGGTAGTAGACCATCTGAATGCAGCTTCCATGGTCATTGATCAAAGAAAAATTAAATCCTTGATAACATCATTCTTCTCTCCATTGATGATTTTATTGGTTTACTTGTTAGCTCCTATGAAATTAGCCCTAATTCATCACAATCCTGTCCTGCCTGGTACATGGCCACGCCCATGATGGCTGGAGATTGCGATTCCATGAAGTTTCTGGTGGTTCATCTTAATATCTCCAGGCTTTCCTTTCTAGTTTAAGTCTGGTTCCTGCATGGAAGCCTGTTCAGCAGCACAGCGACACCCAAACCTCTGGATAGATGGAGCCCCCTACCAGAGGTGTGTTTGCTGGTAATTGAACCCAAATCTACCATGAAGGAGGTGTGAGTCCCACCACTAGCCATCCTCAGATGAAGTGGGTGTGAGTTGATTCTAGCTCACACAGACCTGAAAATAAGTTCCAGGAAGGTCAGGTGAACTGCATCTGCTACCCCTAACCCTTCACTTGTTAGTGAGCTGGCAATTAATCAAAAGGTAACAAAACACCTTGACTAGAGTCTTGGGTTTTCTGGAAGGTTTATCATCAATCCTAAGGATGATGGTACAAGAAGCCACTTCTGCCTCGCTCGTCTTAGGTCCTGCCTCGAATGGGCCTCTTCTTGGACTCACCCCCTTTGGGCAGCCTGGTGGCACTGCGCTGTCTTGGCATCTAGCTGGCTCTCTCCTGACTGCTCCATTCTGCCAGAGCTGGAGTTGTACCAAATGTGACCTTTGTTTCTCCCTGAATAGAACACAAACACAGAAGTTAGGAACCAAGGCAACCCTATAGTCAAAGACTATTGAGTGCACCATTGTCCTGCAACAATATTTGTGTGTAGTTTTAGAGCTGGGCTGGCAGGAGCCACAGGTACAGACAGGCAGCATGACAAAGAGATATCCTTTAGAGGAAAGGCAAGGTACGAAGAGTGGTTGGGGCAGCTGAAGATGCGGGTTGGCTTCAGAGAGGAAATCTTGTCAGTGCACCTGGCCGCTCTGTACACCTGTCCCAGGTGGTCACAGCTGGCTGGGAAGGGAAGCTCATGTACAGGGCCACTTGGAGTTGCTGCAGAACTAGAAGGAAACCCAACCCTCCAGGTGCTCTTACAGCCTCCAGAATAGTCACCAACTCCACCTCCACACTGAGCCAAATACCTGTGAGCGTGAGCTACCTCCTCACTGCCCCAGGGGCCTGTGGGTGGGAGCCCCCTCTGCACTGTTCCAGGGACTTGTGGGTGGGAGCCCTCTCTGCACTCCCGCAAATACCTGTGTGCTGGAGCCCCCACTGCACTGCCCCAACGACTTGTGAGCATGAGCCAACTAGGGTGCCAAACATGTGTCTGAGTCTTTACGTTTTAGAAGTTCTTTTTCCTACTTTAACCACTTTCAACACCTTCCCTGTTACATAGGAGAGATTATTAAGAATCTCTTAAGGTTTCAGTCTACTAGTAATTATTGATCAATAACTACTGATTCTTAAAACTAGTCATAAAGGGCAAATATGGAAGGTATAATTTTTTATCCCAGGTTCTGTGTAATAGAGTGCTTCAAAGCCTATCTCATCCATGTCAGCTCTACCTGCTGCACTGGGGGCTCAGTCTCTGGCTAGGGAAAACTGGTCAAGATTCAGCCTACTGGGGAGGAGTATGCTGTTATTCAACCCTGTTATGTCTTAGCTTGTATTCTCTCAACTGTCCGTGCAGTCAGTGGATATATTTTTTCTGCTGCAAGGTACAAGTTACATTTGGGCTTTAGGAAAGGGCCAATGACTGGACTCCATGGCAGTATTTCTCAAAACTCCCTTTGACTTTGACACAGACTTGCAACTGCCCAAATTATTACTGAATCTCAGTTTAATGAGCTGGCTTTCCTCCTCGGTCCTTGAATTTTGGGCTGCCATGAGGATGATGAAAAAGATCTGGAATCATGTGTGGCCAGAGCTTTATTGGAAAGAATGGGCTTCTTTTTGCCTGTTGGGACCTAAAGGAGGGGGTCAAATCTGCCAGCAAGACTCTAGAAGCCAGTATTCTAGAGGTCCAACTATTTACTTCTGAACATTTTGGATCATAATATTGTCCACTAGAGTGCTGGCACCAGCAGTCAGGAAATCA